CAGGGTGTACCACGTGGAGGTAAGTCTATCCCACACCCCACACCACTAATATAAGTTTAAGCGAATTATAGAAGTATTTAAAGTATAATTGAAAGGTGAAAATGCACTTTTCATGGATCGAGTTTTGTTCCTCGTTATTTATTCAAATTTTTAAGGCTTTCGCCAACCCTGACCCTTTTATGTGATTCTAAACAGTGGTGCTCCTCTGTTTAGAACGATGTTTAAAAAGCCCAGATTTTTAACAATTCGAAATCTAATCTATATATACTATGAATGCATTCAAATACAACTTCTTGTATAGCAATTAATAAATCCGCTTAAAAGGAGAAACTGAGGATGGGTAATAATTCTTTCGGTCAATCAAAGTGAACCTGAATTAGTTTTTTATTATGAATTTATTTTACTTATTTGCCTCCCAATATTTTTTACACGATTGCCAATCGTCTTCATTTTATGCAACGATTACTGGTCCCATGATATCCATTTTCTCAAATTTTAGCACAATTATTGATATTGTTAAAGTGCAACTGCCGAAATAAAGCAGAAAAGAAAAGTGATCGTAACTGGTCCGGAAAAAATGCTCATTGCTTATCTTTAGCATCTCCATGACCAAAATTGACGCAGAATAAAGAAATTTGCATTTGAAATGATTGATTACTGCCATCTATTTCTGCTCTTCATGTGGTGATGTGACTGATTGTTTAACCTATCAACGCCCTAATTATTTTACTTAAAAAATGCACCCAATCGCACTCACGCATGCTCCACAGCAGACTGATGCCACCGACGTGATGAGTTTTGGTGGTAACAGGTGAAGGCTATAGATGAATTGAACGGGTTTTAAATGACAATAGCACCTGCTGTTACGAGGCTAGTACCAATGGAGCTTTTTTTGAAAGATGACCTTAAGATACTAAGGGCGTTAACGGATTAAGGTTAGCTGAAAAACCAGATATCTTTTAATGGAAGAAAGTTAATGACACTTTGCTACTCTTCGAAATGAACCATCTAATCAAAATGTTCGGCAAAGCACTGTTTTTGGCAAACTCAGAAAATGTTAATGGCCCAGTGGATGGCAAGTTTTACCAATCCATCCAGACCGGTATGGATGGAGTCTGATGGCTATGTTCATTCTTTAAAAGAACATGTTTAGACGATCTAGTAAGTTGGAAGAAGGCGTATGAAGAGTTGAGAAAAAATGAATCATTGACCAATGGCTATACTTCCAGCAGATTTTTGAATATAGACGTTACCGTGAAGACTTGTTTGAGCCTGTTACAAGTTCTGTATGGAATTTTCAATAAACACAGTCCCTCGTATTATCGAGCACATTAATTATGATAGTGATGAAGAGGTGATTGCGGTGTGGGGGGGGGGGAGGATGGTGACATTTAAGTTTCATGGCAAGCCCCGTGTAATTGAATAATTTCAAGTCACTTGATCATATAAAACGTCATGGATATGGATGAATGTTTGCTCGTCACGATTAACCGTGTCCAGCCCGTAATTTCAACATAAGGGGTGCTATAGACTTACCTCCGCGTGGTCCTCCCTGAGCAACGTATTCTCGTACGGCAAAAAAGTCTATATAAACCGGCAGTTGACTTCTGACTTCAAACTACCATCAATCTACCGTATGTCATATTCGACTACTTCCACAGTACTCACCTCGCCTTTATTCTATTTTTTACCTTCGTCTTTGAAACGCTCTTCTTCCCCCCCCCCCCCCCNTTCTCCCCCCCCCCCCCCTCTCGCCTTTTTCACTTTGATGTTCCTTCTCCTCTGTAAATCCTGAAGCCAACTAAAGGGCTAGTGATAACCATCAAAATGGCTGCCATTTGATATAAACAAATAAGTTTTAACAAAATGATACTTGTATTTTAGAGTGCTGCAAAGCCCAATTGCCATTTTTACAATTCTAGGATCTAGGTGTCAACCTAACATTTCCACGAACCAAGCCCTTATGAGGTGTTTTAATTGGCCTTATTTTTACAAGTGTTTTTCCTATGGTAGGGCCCCTTACCATTCGAAATTGCATCTGTTGATTAGTATCCTCACGTATTCTCCGTGCAAGAGTTGCCTCCCTATGGTAATTAATTGACGTTTCTCTCAATTCATTTGAATTTAGAAAATTCCAAGACTTCAATACGTATAATGCAGAAGCAAAAACGACTTTTTTACTCTGCTTAGTATTTGTGATTTATTCAATTGGTTTTTAAGATAATTTATTATCTTTGCTAAAGAGCCTAAGGATAAGACTCAAATCTCAGTCACAAGTTGGCTCTATTTCTGCTTATAATAATATATACAAATTTAGGGCACATTAGCAGGTATTGTTCACTCTTCCCCCCCCCCCCCCCCACCTCTTTCCGGTTATGCTACAACTGTTAGCTTTTGGTTACTATATGAGGTCATTCAACCCTGAAAGGCGCAAAAGAAGAAAAAATGCCTTTAAGTAGTAAGTCTAGTCATTATTGTTCAGGAAAACCGGTCAATACGTACTGTACAACATAGATAGGCATCTATTGTAAACTAGAGTAAAAATCAAGGACAGTGAGTTTTGAAATTTGAAAGAACTATTCGGTAAATATTGGTAAGGTACAAATCTATAAATCAAATGGAGTGCGTCCGCGTTAATGCTCCTCCGCGTTATCATTTTCTAGACTTTCTGTTGACGGACTTCAGTCATTTTTAGCAATTGTAATTTTAGTGTTCTACCTAGGGTAGTCTATTCTGCACAGCTTTAACTTATATAAAAGTTGGGTGGTTTCCAGAACATTCTCTAATTTGAAGTTAAGATAGAAGGCAGCCACGAATGCGAATAGTAGTGCATCAATGCTCTCTTGCGCTGAGTTAAAGTATTCTTCAAAACAGACAGTCGCTTCTATCAACCAAAATACCATTGGCATTATGATCTAGAAGGAATTGTAAGTCCCTTTTAACCCTTAATGTAATTGGATGAGTGGCGACTTAATTAAAATATATATATATATATATATTTACAAAAATATAATTGAAAATAATATGAAGAGCAGCCTTATACTATTGATTCCAGCAAACTATCTAGCAATTAATTGAATGACATCAGTTCTTACTCGCAGATCCGCCATTCACAGTCGTTTGACCATGGTCATTCAGCCTCCCCTATTGTTCACATATCAAGCAAACACACAGTCTTGCGTTAACAAGTAGTTCGAGCAAGTTAGATCTCATGCTCTAGCTTATTTGTTTGTACCACCCGATCTCAAGGAAAACTTCGTGATACAAAGGAAATACTTTATTACATTTGAATGGATTGCTTAGGAGAATATAAACACAAAGTATTTACAAGGTTTCAGAGACGCTTTCTAATCAAGGAATGACATTCTTTCCATGGCCTGCCTTTGTATCTCCTTATAATCGTCAGAATCAATATCATAGAGAGGATTGCGACACTCTGCAAGTACGCTCTCTAGTTCTAGACCCACAGAAAGATCGACAATGAAGTCAAACTCTGAAATCATAGTCTGAATAGCTTCGAGCCTATCCCAAAGCCGTTCCTTTTTCTGTTCCACAGATTCCTCGTCGCCATCTTCAGAAGTCACATTCCCCAACACAACAGTATTCACGAAATCCGCTGTTTGAAGTTCAGGATGCCTTCGGCCTAATTCCATTACTACTGCTAGTGCATATTGGCTGGGGGGATTAGTGAAACAGAGGTCAGTTTGGAACCAAGTGTTGATAATCTCGAAGCCTTCTTTTCTCAAAGAATTCATGAGCTCTGTAGCCTCTTCATCCGTTAGTGAAGAATCTTTACTTTGCCTGAACGCGATTAATTCCACAAGGAAACCTGTGAGGGGGCGGTAGGGGGGATAAACCCACAGATCATAGAGCAGTTTGTCCATCAGGAAGAGTTCTGATCGGGAAATAAACGCATGGTAACGCTCACGGTTGCGTGGAATATGGTCGACAAACCTGTTTAAACTGATAGGATAATCCGCTGCCTTGAAAGCGAGATAGAGAGCTGTTAGCATCATTTCTCTTGGAGAGTAATCCATCACTGAGTTGTTGAGGTAGAAACGCTTCAAATAAGTGGCCGCGAAACCAAAGACCTGAAATCCAAGAGTAGGGAAAGAGGATGAATATATATTGAAGCGTTAGTTAGACTTGCGTTGACTCTAAAATCTCGACAAAAATATATAAAAAAGTATCCATGACCCTTCGAAATAAATATTTGTGAGATATAAATCCCTCAAAGTAAAAGACATCTAAAAAACGTTTGATAGAAATGATACGCCAATGATTTCTCTTTTAAGTTAAAAAGCATATTTAATATTTGGTACCCCCTTACAAACCGATGCCAGCAAAAATGCGAGTGATTGATTAATCAAGATGTACCGAAGCAAATCCAAGCCCTGCTGAAGATATACTTCAGCAACACTAGCCATACATGATTAAACTATTAATAAACGTAAATTCATTTGAGCCAAGAATTACCGAGAATGCAAAGAGGCATTCAGCAAGAAAGAGGGTCAAAATGTGTAGGTAAACCACACGAGAAGTCTATTTCAAGAACAAATGAAATGTGCAAGGTCACTTGGAATCATCGGCGGTTTGCAAATGAAAGAAGAAAAAAAAGAGAACAAACAGCGGATTGAGCACCAAAAAATTAAAGATGATCTACTAACTGTTAGATAATTTAGACGAATGCGACAAGGCACGGAAACTTATAGCTTCGAGAAATAGTGGAATTTATTACTTGAACATCAATTTCCTTGATAATTACTCCCATTTACCAGCCCCCGGGGATACAGTCTCTTTACTGGCTAACGTGTTAGCTAATCACTCCCTCTTCAATACAAGTCATACCCAAAGAATTGTACTTTCGAGATAAAGGAGAAGAGAATCTCCCATTGAGCTGCAAGCTTGACCTTCCAGGGTGGCAAAAAATGAAGAGAATAAATACTGTTAGTCTTAAATCAGAGGAAAAATAGAAGATTACAAGTGTATTTGAATGGAAAAACCCAATTAACTGAATGAAATCAACTACCATTGACGCACATAGGTCGCAAAGACTGGCTTATTCCTTGATTTTCTCTCATAAAACAGTATGTTACCCTATGTAATTTGTACTTTAAAAATTAAAACACAGAGCGAACAAAACTACCATTAAGAGCCAAGCTGCTTCTCAGTCTATAGCTTATGATTCAAACAAAAGCAAATAGAAATAACAAAGCTTACATCAGCAGGAAGTTGAGGATCATCAAATTGTTGATAAAACCCGTGCATAGCACAAATATTTCGCTTCACAATTATTAACTCCTCCTCAGCTGTAAGAAAAGTGGGTTCGGTTTTCACATCACCCAAAGCTTCCGTCTTCGATCGAAATTGTTCTGCAAGACGCTTTTTTGTCGAAGTATTGCAATCTTGCCTTCGACTATTCAACTCGTCTGCTGTAAGCAGCCAATTGAGCAACTGTGAACTCGATGAGTATGACTACAAACCAGCAAATATATAACTACTAAGAATGTGCAAGTAAGCATTAATTTAGGTTAATATTTTTACTAAATATGAAGTAAATATTCAGGGTATAAAAAAGGAAACAAAGAAATAGGATTATGGAAACACTGTATTTGAATGAAATACACATGGGTGGAAATGACGATTTAGAACAATGGGGTATTGAAAGGATAGGGAATTATTCTTGCTCCATTGGTTGAGGCCCAGCATCATCGGTTTCAATAGGTTGGGCTTCTGCGATTTGAGCGAGATAGGGCTCAACTTCTTCTTCTGAACAAATTGTAAAGTTCTTGTCCTTACCAACGATGGCCAGAGCGCAGTTCTGTAATCAACAAAATACAAACGTACACACCGCAAGAGTACGAAGATTTATATTACAGATAAACATAACACACCTTTCCAGAAAGCTCGACTTCAACTGGTAGACAACCTTTGAGAGCTTTCAATCCATGAATAATAAGTTTATCTAAACAGCAACTTTGAAATTCGTCAAGATGACGCTCGAGGTAAGTTCTGGCAGATTGTGAACGTGAACCAACAGCAAAGCATTTACAATCATAAGCATTTGATGATGGACACTATCAAAAGTTATTTTAGTAAACACAAATACGTACCAAATAGTAGACATGAGGACCCTTTTCATCATAACCGGTAATAAGCATGCCAACTCCGAAAGGTCTTCGACCATATTGTTGAGTAGGAACTTGCATTTTCAAAGAAATCTTATTCATCAATCGAGATACTGGGAGAGGTTCATTATACGCCCATCGACTGTCTGCACACTCATTACGCATATGCCTGGCAAGAAGAAATCCATCAGCAGTCAAACCGGTTATAGCCATTCCGATGTGTGAGTCGATTGGAATCAATTTTTCTTGATACGATGACAATTCTGATGGAGCCCTTTTAAGAGCAACAATAACACAAAAATTCTTATTCTTCAACGCAACTGCTGCTGAACCTTGTTTAACAGCTTCCATTGCATATTCAATCTGATGAATACGTCCCTGGGGACTCCAAACAGACACATCATGATCGTACTGATTCCTAAACATTTTACATATATTAGGCTAAATATGCAAAAAAGCTGAAGTCACCACAGCTCCGTATTGTTATTGGCTCCCATGAAAATGTTCAAGAAGTGTTTATTTATATTTAATTAAATATTTCAATACTTACTGATGAAATAATACTTTTAGGACATTGAAAATTTGTAAAATCGTTACATATATTACGATTCTTTAGTCGTCCTTTTACGAACTAATTAATTAACCTTCGACAACATGGTCTTGCCTATTAGGAGATGTTATAATTCAAGACATTTTCGAATAATTACTTTAGTCTGACATTGCAACCTTAACTTTCGGCTATTTTTTTGATGGCACAAATATATTAAACTAAAATAGAATGGAACCTTCGTGGAGAAATTACAGGTTTTAATGGACTTAGCTGGTAATTTAATTCTGTCAAATTAAATTCACTTTTCATTCTTTCTGCATTGTAATAAAATAAATCGGTATTTATTTAAAGGGAGCTCATCGGGAATTTTTAAAAAATTCCAATTAACTTGAGTATTCATTAAAAGAAATAGTAAATATATGCAGCGAGAGTCAAGAAATGTAGATATGCCGAACATCACCACTAGCTCACTGAATTTATGCTTAACCACCTCTGGCTACAAGTAAAAATATGAGTATTCATATCTAGCCGTACCACACTTTTGGTTTATACAAATGCATCGGTTCGTCAACATCCTATATCATTTATTTAAAAAGAGCCTAAACATGATTAGCAACTAAAATATACACATACATTAATAGGTTATACATATCTCATGGAAGGAATTAATAGAGGGCAGGGAGAATATGGAGCAGTGTTACTACTGCCCATTAGCTTCTGGCAGAGAACTATCGATCACTGGAGGGAAAACGAAAAACTTTTCACCCCTTCGCCTAATCTTCATTTTCAGAGGCCTTAGTGCACCCTCTGAGCTTCCATTTTCCAATCCAGATTCACCTAGTGCCAAATAAACATTATCTGAGGATCTGTAAGTGAGGGCAGCTCTATCATTATCTGGGACTCTTTGAAGAATGGGAGGATTCGGGGAGGGTGCAGCTTGTAGAATCGGTGGTGAGGGAGTATTTGCCACTGACGATGAAGAAGTGCACCCCAATCTATTCATTTGTTCCAGAGGAATTTGGGAATTTCGATTTCTCGAATCGAATTCGCTTTCCCCTTCTCGAATGAACCACTCATCGGTGTCATTGGTCTGAGGCAAGGTGTCTGAATCTTCAGAACCTGTTCGCTGTCCAGATCGTCGTCGTGAGATCAACAAACGAGGAGGATGAATAGAAGGAATTCCATTTATTGTTCCTATAGAAATCGCTGGATAGGTGGAAGCAGTTGAACAGGAAGAAGGAGTTTCAGGAGAGTCCATGGAAAGATCAATTGAATTACGAAGGGTATATGAGGTAGTTGTCATTGTACCATTTTCAATAGCACAATCTTTGGATCGCCTCTGCAGGCGGTGAGATCGAAATCGTCTACCGACTTGTCGTTGGTGTTGAGACATTTCATACGTTTTTGCTGCTTCTTCATCTTCAAACATCATTGGGATAGTTGCTGAGGAAGAGGAAGAAGAAATAGGCGACAGAGGGCAATAGGGACCTGCAAAACAGAGACAATAAACTGGTGATCTCTAACTTAAACCAATTACAAGCCATAGTGCGCTCAAGGAATAGAGATTTTCAACGATTTTGCATATCGTATACATCAGAGCCTAAAATTATTAAATCATTAATGTCTTTGATAAACTAACCCTGAGTAAACAAGAAGATACTTAAAAACCAACTCAAGGTGTTTTAACTAACCTTCAGGAGTAGTGGGCCTTGATGATTGAACCGACGTCTCCACTTTTTCAGCAGAGGCCAAACGGGCAGAAATCCTAGCTGATAACCGCCTTCTCTTTTCAGGACGCTGCTCCTCGGTAATCGATTTAGTCGCCATTGGTTGCTTCGCACTTGGAAGTAGCCTCTTAATATTAGCAACAGAGGGCCTCGGAAGTGATGCACGTTTAACAGATCTTCGTCGAGATCGTAATTCTAAACTTATTAAAGAGTTATCTGACTGCTGCTGCTGCAGTGACTGTCTCCTCGGTCGACTGGAAGGTACCTGAAGTTGAGGAGATAAAGCCGATTCCTCCTGTTGTCTCCTATTTGTTTGTTGACAGTTTCGACTGAAAGAAGAAAACACTTCCGATATCTGTGACTTGAGTCGATCGAGACGGAAGTTGGTGTGACGAAGCCGATAGCAACCAGAATTGACAGCAGAGAGAGCTAAACCAGTTGAGAGGCCCTTAATGAAGAGACCGTTGGCTGCCATGGCATTGGTAGGAGAGTGGGTGGAAAATGTTGGCGCTTTGTGATTGATTGACGTGGGACAACTGCCCCGTCTGTGCAAATGTGGAATTGGAGCTGCAATAAAAATGCATTGAGGTTTTAATGCAAAACAAAGTGTAGTTCCAACGCCAACAAAAGCTGCTTAAGGTTTTTTTCAAAAATAGAATTAATTCGAAAAGATCTTAAATTTATTCGTATTTGTAAATGACCACGACCATATTTTTTATTAACGATGCCATTGGCTAAGCAATTAATTTGTACAGAATACTAGAAGACGGCACTGTAAAGGTGAATGCTAAATGCGCCCACTGGGTAGTAACGTCGATTGGCCAAGTGTTGCGCGGCTCTAAAGTCCGACGAATATTTATGATAGTCCACTAACCTAGAATTATTGAAAGTCGACCCACGTTGAAGTTTATTCATAAATAAGGTGGACATTTTGTATAATGTACTAATATTAGGTGTTCACTTTGAGTGAACACAACTAAAAGAGCTCTACAAACTCGATTTTTTCACCAACTTCACCGCTCCTGGATACGATGTCTCACCTGTTGGACTTCCTGTCATTCGATCTCGAGTGCTTCCTGCAAACCAAAAATAGACCTTTTATCGATTTTCGATAGATAGCAAATTTTTTATATCCCCTTAGGTTTATTATTCGTCATAACTTCATTTTCACAGCCATCGGTAAGGAGGGGGGGATACAATATTGAACGATAAAAATAAGAGGAAAATAAACAAAATATCCTTGAATACGATAAAAGAGGAACAGTGAAGAGATGACTACGGACGCAAAAAAAATAAATCTCATGATGAAACTTCAATCAAGTCAACTGGTCCACAAGGCCTGAAAGTCGTTGATGCGAACCCAGGGATAAAATCAGAGAAATTAAGCTTAGAAACATTTGGATAATACACAGTGAATTGTACCTCCTATGAGAACGTGAACAACTCCATGGTTCCAGAAACCAATTAAAGCTTCACGTTTGACATTTTGACTCATATTTCTACCAGCATTCTACCACCTCTCTGTCGTTTCATCGATTTCTTAATATCTACGTTCATTGGGGAACTTTATGATGATCAAATGGTCAACAAAGTTCTGAATGCTGTGAACACAGTCACAGTTGAATCCAAAGTCGACCTGTTTTATTCCTTACTGGGCTATTTTGCTACTTCTTGCTTCAGATGGAACCATCGATGACGTCAACGGAAACAATAGTTAATAAATACTAAAAATTTACTACCTTTTATCCCCCCGCTCACCAATACCCTCCAAAATAGAAGACAGGAAAGGATCAAAGGAGCGGACAGGGAACGCATTCGTCTAATTAACTACCTACATTAGCACAATTCACTTGCAGAAGGGCATGTGGGAAAAAAACGTGCAAGTCCGATGACTCATGGTAGTAGTACGAATCATAACGGATGACACACTGCATTTTTGAAACTGCAGATTACCAACAATGTTCTTCCCAATTTAGAGTTGTTTTGTAAGAAGTTTAAAAAAAATTCAGCAAAGTATACGAGAAGCTCGCATTCATATTGACAAAATTAGCCACAACTATTAGCCATTCACGTCACTAAGGACGTACCGATGGTTATGGGTTTAATGACCTCTGGCTTAATTACCGTACAACTTAGCCGAATAGAAGGAAAATTCCATCCATTGTGGGCTTCCGAGAGGTTGATAGTAAACCGAAACCTTTTTGTGAGAAAATCTTATTTTTTTTCTACCTCCTTACTTCAAGATAATCTGTGACAAGCCAACTAGATTTGGATCTGTGGTTACGCCCACACTATTTTTAACGATCGGCCTCAAACAATAGATGGTTATTATAGAGCAAAATTGCGAGGACATTCCAGTTTTCCGTTAAAAGTGTAATACTACGTGGTGCATACACTTCAATAACAGTTAATAGATCAGAGGCGAATACTGATGCTTAGAAACCCTTGAAGGTTTTCAGGACACAATCAATTGGTCCAGGAACGTTTCAAAAAAGACAAAATAAATAATATTAAGAGATCAGATAGGAATGGGAGAAACAGGCTAGAGGTGCAACTCTCAATAAGGGCTTCTTTCCCATACAGTAATACGATTAGAGTATGATTATTTCTCTCATTTCCACTACGACAATCAGTATGCATGTAGCTCTTCTTAGCTTTAGATCTTCTCGATGGAAAACAAGAGTTGTACTCCAGTAATTCTCAATTCGATTGAAGAGGAACAGTTTCTAACATTCATCCTGAATGTAAGAAAAGCATTCTAGAGCCTTTTGACGTGAAATTCACATTCTGACACTCATCTCACGCTCTCGTGCATATTGAAAAGAAATAATCTCGTAACTTGGTAGATTCAAGTGTAAATCCTAAGCCTCGCGTATACCCCCTCTCTCTCCAACCCTCTCCCAATACATTACTTTTAAATATTAAATACCTAGGCACTGCGTACACTCCCACAACCAACTACACCAACTGAACTAACCTTGCTTGAGACGTTCCCTAATGGTAGCAGCTACAGATTCGCCTTGTGACAGCCAAGGTTTTGCAGTGGAAACGACAGAAGAAAGAGACGTTGGAGACGCAGCAGGCGAGCAGTCAGTCGTGGAAGCCGACACTACTCCACCGCCCACGCTTTGAACTGTTGATGTAGTAGCGGCTTCAGCAAAAGAGCCCTTGCCGAGGAGTTCACAAGTAAAGCATTCACAGGACGCATTGTTGGTGTCGAAGAAGTCAAATCCATAGAAGATGTAAATCTCATCACCCGCTTTGATATCACGTATGGCGGTAAGGCTCATTCGATCATCGCCGTCACAACTTATGGTGAACTAAAACGATCGAAATAAATGGGGATTATTGTAAAAGTAAACAAGGTGGCAATTAGTTATTTCAGCAGAAAATTATATAATCAATGATTGCTTTTATAACCTCCTAATAATTCTCAAGACCTCAGAGAAAAGTAAGTCATTACATTCCTGGTCTGACCCCAACCGGACATCTTCAGTGAAATGTGAAAAGGTGATCGAAAAGTCAGAAAAGATTTTGGGACATATTCAACAGAGACCTGTGATAGAACGTCACCTGGACAAAACAAACCTTTTCTATAAAGAGCGCAGGATCTAAGAAAGAACTCGTCTACTGAAAATAGCGAAAATTCAATTCTGAAACCGAAGGCAGGACACAGTAAGATCAAATGCACCTATGAATCAAAATAACATCCCGCAAATAAAACGAAACTTTGGTATAACATGACACGCTATCTCAGCAATTGTATTCTCATAATTACAAGAGAATTGCGAAGGAAGACTAACATTTACAAGTTGTTGAGATATCAAAGATAAACACGGGCAAATGGTAATCTTACACAGACAAGTTATCAGCGACAAAACTTTTCAAAGGTCGAAATGATAAGACAAGATGAAGCAATACTATGAGAAAAAAAATTAAAATACTAAATGAAATCAACAATTGTGGCAACCATATTTGACCTAGTCAAATAGAGCAGAAAATTTATTTGAATTCCGATTGTGCCAATTTTAGTCATGAGGTATACATCAGAAGACAATTATTATAAACATGCAGAAAGCTGAAAGAGTGCACCTACCTCACAATTTGGTTGACAATCATGATTAACGTAAGCAGCCGGACCGAGCCACAGTTGAGACTTCTGCTTGCGAGAGGAATACATCACCGAGAAATCATTTTCCTTTTGGCGAAGAAAAGATCTCTCCTCGTCTTTAGTCAACTCAGCAATACATCCTACGAGAGCGTAGATCTTCGAGCCTTTTGGCCAATCTTTGGTTGCGAAAATGGCACCACCAGTATGACCCTCGGAAGCATACCGGTAGCAAGGAGCGATTTTGATACCAGATCGTTCATCAAAGAGCAGAAGATATCGATATATCTAAAGAAGTAATTAAGATTCTACGCTGCATACATGATCGCGAAATCGAGCATCGGTTTTCCAGTGTTGCTTAATACCGATATCTTCACTGACTAGCTGTTCATATGCTAACGAGAAATCTTTGTGGGATTGGAAATCTTCAATAATTTTCTTAAGTCGCCTAGAAACTTGATTTGATATTCTAACACGCATACTAATTGGAATAATTACATAAATACAAGCTTACTTAGTCATTTTGTGTGTCTTGAAGCCAAGAAAGGGATCTACAGTAATACTTGTGGCATAATCATCGGTTTCCACCAAGTCACGCCAAACCATCCGATGAGAACCATTAATGTTTGGAACTTTGGGCTCAGTACGTTTGGTCATTATTATCAATCTTAAATATAAAATGTCTAGATTCAAAAAAATTAACGATCCAAAAACCAAACGCTCCCAAACGTGGAGCCTAATATGAAAATCGATAAAACAAATGATTTGAGGCCAAATGGTAAATATTATGAAAGACTTTGATTTGATTTACATATTTATTCGTTTTAATTGTAATACTTATTGCTTTAACCTTTAGTTTTGGTCATTTTTACATCAATTCTTTACCTCATTCAACGTCTAATGTAAATACTTTTAACTTGCCCTCGTATCCTAGTCACTTGATTTTTCACTATATTTTTCTCACGATTTCATAATAAGCATGGATATTTTTGTTAATATAGTTTTGTCATGCTTTACATATATTTATAACACCTATATAGTACCCAGTCCAAACTCCTTTATTGTTAAGACCAGTGGATTACTTTGTCAAATTCAAACAACTCTGGCAGGCAAAAGTTTCTTTGACTACCGGATTATGCAAAGCTCGAATTAGGTCTCAAAGTCCATTTCATTTAACTTTTCCACTCCAATATATTTCAATTAAATTCTCATTAGTAAATGTATATGTCTTTATGTACAAAAAACTATTCATATATGTTTAATTCGTTCTACTGGGGTTCCTTGATTGTTTTAATCACTGATGCGAAGTGGGGCCCTGATATAAAAATATTAAAATTATTTATAGAGAGCAACGTAAGGTAATTATCAATTACTTTCTTATACCAAAAAATATTTACCTTTATTTTTTCATAATCTTATCCTATATCTAAGATTAAATAAGTAATTCCTCACACTTATTTGAAGGCTTTCTACGGTGTGTTCAAATTATTAAATCGAATTAGTATAAATACTTCCTCTGAATATAACTTTCAAATTCATGCGCTAAAAATTAGTTCAAAATGAAAAAGATATATTTCCTCAACATTTCTTCAATGAATTACAATTCGTGAGGTACTCACAATTTAGTATAGTTCATATTTCGATAGTATTTTGCAATAAATGTACTTGGTATATAATTGGAAAAAATGACCTTCACTACTATTTTTGAAAAAGACAGCAAGGCTTATTTAATGAAATAGCATTTATTGAACCTGCAATTGTGCTCTTAACGTTATTTTATGTGTTCTATGAGAGGAGTGTTGTGGACAGTCATAAATAATTTTTTGAATTAACTTTTCTTCCGGTGGTATTTTCCATATTGATCACCTTTCGGTAGCTCTTTGATAAATTTTCACGACCATAGGTTCCAAAATGGTCCATATACTCATTGATTAAATTCACCTGTCGTTCGGTACGAGAACTCTCTCACCACCTCTGGGACTCTGATGATTTTCAAAAAAATCTAATTTTCAGTTAAATTTTACATCTTTTTATAATAGATGCTAGCCTTACGTCAAAGGAGGACATTTATAAATGCTACCGCCTATATGAATGATCGGCTTGATACCATAGACTAATTTAAATTCGTTTAAAATTGAATGTTCCCATAATAATTACATTATTTACAAATTTGCCCCTTGACCAAGTATAATTTGGTTCTGTTTTCTTTCCTTAAGCTTAGATGACTGAAATTTTGACTGATCTAAATATTTTAACCAATTAAGGTACAATTTCTTAACGTCTTACATTAGATCAATCCAACTGTTAGCACTAGTTTATTTTTTACTGGATTCATACAGTAGCCACTCTGTTATATTTATTATAAAAATTGCTCTCCTCTTGAGTTATTAAGGTATAACGAAATAGACATTTCACTTTCAATTAAACCAGCTACCTTATAATACTATGCAAAATCACACAAAGTTTAAGAGGATCGATAAATGCAATTAACCACTCTTAAATTCCCCATTAAACACAAATATAATACTTTTTTGAAGGTTTTGCTAAAAAATAGGTAATTTTCCGACAAGTTATATAAATGCTTTCGTCTTGGTATTCCATGGCATTTATATCTTGTATTAATATGTAAACAAAAACAGAAAAGCCTTTTCTATATGTGCCTTGCACATTACGACAACCTCTTATTTTTCTTCAGTTTAACCTTGTTAATTACTTTCCTAAACGTGGTGCACCCTGGGCAACGTATACTCATACGGCAAAAAAATCTATAAACCGGCAGTTGACTTCTCACTTCAAACTGCAATGACCATATTATATGCCATATTCGACTACTTCCCCAGTACTCATCTTACCTTTTCTCTGCCTTTGTGCCTGTCTGTCTATCTCCTTTACATCTGTGAATTAGTCTTCTGTTTCCCCTCTCCACTTTTTGTGACTTTGATGATCCTCCCCTCTGTGAAGCTCGTAGTCAGCGAAAGGGCTAATATGAATACTATCAAAACGCCTGCCATTTGATACAACTAAATAAATTAACTTTGGTCAGCAATCTTGATTGAGTCTAATCTAAACATGGGCGTTTGAGCATAGGCCTCACATAGTAGGAGCAAATATTTCTTTTTTACGTCCAAATAAACACATTTGCGTTGAATTATTAATGAAAATTCTATAATCAGAATAAAAAACAAGTATTTTGTCAGTGTTTCTGATTTTATTTATGTCTATGATTTTCGCAAATAAAATTAAAAAAATATTCATAAATATAAACGACTATAATTTTTCATTTTGGTTGGTGTAGCGCCGCGGATTTCATCGTCCTTATCGCATCCCATTTGCAGCTGGTGAGTACCTATCGAAACCAGAAATTTACATCAAATTCATGCTTTAAAGTTGTGTTTTTGTGTTAGTCGGTTCATTTCATTTGTTTCTAGGAAAATGTAATTTGTATTTTTTATCGTATGTTTTTTCTCCTCTTATGAATCTTTATTTCCTCACAATAATTTATTTGGTTCCAGTTTGATATGGGCTCAGTTTTCGGGACTCCGGCACCTCACAACGTGACTTTCACTCGATCCGAAATTCTCGTACGCTTTACCATTTAATCAAATTTTTATAGTATTTTTCATTATTTTTTTTGTACCTAAGGTGTCTGAGGATGTTGTAGACCGTTTACGTGATCAAAAATCCAATATTAGCGAAAAGGTCTCTTCTCAAATTCAAGCTCCTGCTCCTTCTCCTATAGCACAAACCTCACCTTCAAACCAACATGTTGCAGGTGTGTATTTTTATTGTTTTGATTAATAATATTTACTAGTGTGAAATTTAATTTACTTGTTTGCTCTTTTGAAAGAAACTGTTCCGGAGAAAAAGGCTGATTCATCATCTGCTCTCCATGGTTTGCCTCATCCATCAGAGGAAGCCAATAGAAGATTTGAGGCTCTGCTCAGAAGACTTAGTGAAAAGGTTGGTCTTGTACTTTTGCAGTTGTGTTTCATTTAAAGTATTATCGAGATTTTTCACTCTTTTAAAATGGGATTTAATTGTTAATTCATGTTTGACTCAGTGCTCGCTGTTCATGCATCCGAAATTTGGTTGACGAGTTTATCATTTTCTTTTTGATTCTTCTTTTCTTGCATCTATTGTTATATATAGTAAATCTTTATGCTAAAAACAGCTCATTTTGCTTTGAGCTGAATATGGTGTTTATTTCCCCAGAATGACTTGGCTCTTAAGCTGGCGGAAGATGAATACGCCAAAGTTGTTGATCGTCTTCAGGCTAAATATCTGTGAGTGCTACTTTTCTTATTTTGGTAGTATAATGGTATTCTCTTTTCGTCATGGACTCCTCTTGTTTTGCAGTAAGTACTCTCCTGAGGCCTGCTGTGTCGATGCTCAAAAAGTTGTAATGGACTGCTATAAAGCGAACGGTGAACGCTCTTTAAATTGTTCTAAGGAGGTCGAATCCTTTGTTCGCTGTGTTGCTGCTTTTCGCGCAGTAGGTTTCTGGCTTTCGATATTGACTTAACGTACATATTTGATTCTTGTTCTAGCCTAACGTATGTTTTCTTCTATTCAATTAGGCACGAATGAAGAGTACTGGCTCCGATGTTCTCTGAATTTAGTTTGTCTAGCTTATCAATCCTCATTCGCACCCATAGGTTTTGTATAGATATGAAATACGTCAAAACCACTAATAAAATGGCTTTGACTATCTTTTCTCTTTTTTGGTGGCTAAGTCGGCTAATATCACAATTTCGATTGTTTGAGCCTGCGGCGGAATCACATGCTGCTGACACGCAACTGTTTAGCATCCGTTCTACTGAAATCTCTTAAGTAGTTATACAATCTTAACGTTAAATGAAACAATTGAGACACCATCAGAAACGAATTCAAAAAGTAGAGATTCCAGACTAATTAAAAGTGTATAAGTTATTGAAGAAACCAGCATAAGCAACCCTGGAGAGAAATGTGAAAGAAAGGAGGGGCAGGGAATATGGAAGATTCTCAAAGATAGTGTTTACACGGTTAGTTGGTGAGTAACAAAGAATAAGGCGATAACAATTGGAAGCACACACAAAGCAAAAAAGGACGATCTGAGTGGTAATTATGGTATCGGAGGTCACGTTGTTCACAGCCAATAGAAGCATGAAATTGGGACATGGACCCCTGCAAGAAAAGAGTAAGGTAAAAAGGTCAGAAACTAAAGCCAAGTTCGAAACTGTTTTATTTGAGGGTATTCACATTTCTCTAAATTGAAGTAACTACAAAAAATTATTCAATTAGCACCCGGTCGGATGTTCGCATAACTCCGTTGCTTTGGTCTCTCCAAGTCCCGTCTTGTGAGAATGTATTTGGTAACAATGGATTCGTACAATTACTTTGTACGATTAATTTAGTTAGCTTTATTCTTGCAATATTAGCAAGACGTTTTCCGAAAGACGAAAAGTACTTCACTTGCAAATTGAGGAATTTTTCCTCATGGCACTAACAGTCTACACAAAAATTAAGAGATCTGTATAACTTACAGGCTCACATTAGAGTTTAGCCAGATTCCACTTTGGAAGTGGAAGGAGGACACAATTCTATAGCCATGACAGTTAGATGGGTATAAACGTTCACTCGACTAAGCTTATACACTAGTGATGTATCGCACACCTCTTTCTTATCATGATGATAAGGAAGGGGCGTGCGATGGACTAACCTCCACGTGGTGCAACCTGGGCAACGTATACTCATACGGAAAAAAAGTCTATAAACCGGCAGTTGACTTCTCACTTCAAACTACCATGACCAAACTGTATGGCACATTCCACCATTCCCACAGTATTCATCTTACATTTTCTCTGCCTTTGTGTCTGTCTATCTCTTTTACATCCTTGGATCACTCTTCTATTCCCCCTCTCGAATTTTTCTCACTTTGATGTTCCTCCCTTCTGTGAAGACCAAAGTCAGCTAAAGAGCTAATGGTAGCTATCAAAACGCCTGCCATTTGAAATAAATAAATGATGACAAGAAATAACAGTAGGAAAATATCTCCACAAAAAAATCATATGGACACAAAATTTAATACTTGGAAATTAACTGCCCCCTCTCCTCTCGTTACTTCAAGTCAAGGTCTTACTTTTAAAAAATGGAGAATTTTTTAATTTTATCCACCCATGTTAACAAAAACGACTGTTAAAATTAATTATCCACTTCTTATTGTGCATATTTATTCTCTCAATATGTTCTTTAATAGTTGAGAATAACTATAACTATAAAATTCACCGTTTTGAAGTGGTCAATTTGTCACATTCCTCATCTAGCAATGCAATAACACATTTTCGCGGACCCTTTTCAGGAAATTTGATTGAAATAGAAATTAAAATATGTAAAGCTGACACACAAAAAAGCATGGGTCAATATATTACATCCAACACCAATAACACATGACTTTTAGGTGCAATCGCTTCTATTGACGCCTTAAAATTTATATGCTGATGGCCCGTTGATAAATGTGAGATTCGAGTTCGAGAGGGAGAAAGGTGGATTGACTAATTATCAGAGTCTTAGATCGCGTTTGCAAGTGGATGCAAGGCCGTTCCATGAACCTGCACAGTCATCTGATGTGTATACCTGCGTGTTTACGTTGCATGTTCAATTAACACTACCATAAACAAAGCGACGAAAATCGAGTAAAGTAAAAAATGAAGAAATGAAAAAATGACCGTAAATCCCTTAGATGCACATTTATGAGCTATGCGACACCCACGAATTAGTCGCACACACACAAACACACACATTAGATTTAAATTCCATGAGATAATAAATATATCGGTTTGCATGCGAGTTACGACAAAAGAAGAGTTAAGCTGAGAAAAAGTAAGTCATTGGAAAATGACAAATCCTAAGATTCGAAATTTTACCCGAAAATGGTTAAAAGCACACACACGCACGGGAAAAAGTATAAATGCTTATTTTGAACGAGTTCACGTCGAAGCGTATCGACTAAGTTCAGAGGAGTACATCGTGTTACCTTGATTCCTTAAACTTTCCCAAACTCCACAATCCATCATATATATATTTTTCAGAAACCATTCCACACACTTGGGGTGTGGATTAAGATAGAATCACGTGTGTACTTGCTAAGTCAATAGTTGCAGTTGTAACCAATCAACCATAACCTAATTAACAACCACCCGAATACAACTTCTACAACTATCACATACGACATTTAAAATTTCATATTTTTACAAATTTTGCAGTTACTTTCATTATACTAAAATTACTTTTTAACACAAATAAAGGAGATGGCTTGCGAATGGAAAGAGCTTAAATACTTCCAGAATAAGAACGAAGTAGCACCATCGTCATTAATTATGCACTTAAGATTGCTGTCAAAATGGTTGTGAAAATGCTAAAAAAGGGACTTACATCTTCTATGAGACGTAATATATCAAAAAAAGCTTTCTGTGAAATTCAAATTTTAATCACCTATGAGTAACAATGCGAGATTCAAGTTAGCCTATTTAAGCAATTGTAAATTATAGAAGGTGCCTGTGTAATAATAATAATGTAAACTAAGACCAAATTCACAAAATTAATCATCAACCACCCACGAAACCGTTTACCATAACACAGAGGGAAATGAGCTTAGTCTATTCAAAAGAAATTAAATGACTGTAAGTGTTGATCCAAATTCAAAGCATTATCCTAATGGGACTTAAAAGTATTCCTAACTTACATGCATGCACAAACCAAAAACCCACGACAATGCTTTCGCATATTTCAAATATTCCAACACAATCTAATAAATTGCTTTCGTTAACCTCAAATTCATATTTACCTGCAAGGGGTACGTAATAGACTTACCTCCATGTGGTGCACCCTATACTCATACGGCAAAAAAAGTCTATTAACCGGCAGTTGACTTCTGGCTTCGAACTACCACCACCCCACTCTATGTCATATTCCACTACTTCCATAGTACTCACCTCACCTTTTTTCTACATTTGTCTTTGAAACACTCTTCTGTCCCCCCCCCCTCCTCTCGACTTTCTTTCACTTTGATGTTCCTCCTCCCCTCTGTAAAGCCTGAAGTCAACTAAAGGGCTAATGATAACCATCATAACGCCTGCCCTTTGATAGAAATAAAATTTTTACCTGCACTGGGCAGCAACAAGGTAGAGAGAGAGAGAGCGACTGCTGTTGGCAATAGAAAAAAATTTAACGAAATGTACCACACACACACACACCTTGGAAAGAGATGACGACAGTAGCAGCGGCGGGGGTAAAACGAGGGCGACAGAGAGAAGGAAGTGGTAGATCCAATACGTGAGCAGGAGGGGGTGGGGGAGAGGGGAAGTATTTTAAATCGCGCTTTCTCGAGGATATGCCATGTAGAGTGGTGAAACTGGATTAACAAAAGAGAGAAAAAGAGAGAGAGTACACATTTATGAAGAAGGTTAATGGGAAAATTAAATGCCGTACAAATTAATCATGTTAAATAGGCTGAACAGCGAGTTACTGTAGAGGCATGACAAAATGTAAAATGATAAGGATCGTTATTTAAAAAAAGGCAAGATAAATGTAAGCGCGTTAATAGGCAGTCTCGATTACCAAAAAAAGAGTTCTCAAAATGTCGTTCTTGCTACAGTAATTGTTCTATTCTGAGTGTGCTTTCCCTAACACATCAGTATCTTATCAAAATCACGCAAGAAACCAATCACATGGTCCCAAAACAAGGTGAATGCCTGCTGAACTTACCACATGCACAATAATAAAATGGAAATTGTCAAGTTGGCTATAGATGCCAACATAGACAGGCGAAACGCGGTGCTACCACAATTTCTTCGAGCTTACACAATTTTGCATGTTAACCTTCCTCAGTCATCAGAGAACTTAGATTTGGACCGTGAAATATGTGATTATGAAAGTCAGCGAACTTGTCCCACAATAGTCTTGAAAACTATTCCCCAATAGACGTAAACTCTTCACGTATTGGGAAGAAATTAAGTACAAAGAAGGGCAAAGCGATACTCAAGTTCCAAGGAAAACATTATTACAATCAATGAGTCTACCTATTCGGCAATAGTTATATGTAAGGGTTTTATCTTTAAGTCCTACTTGTAATTGCAATGAAAAAAGAACAACTGGCTTTCAATTCATGTTGATCAACTGAAGATGATATATTAAAACTGTAAACGAGAATGAAGACAGCAATGCAGTTGGTTCAATGGGACTCGCAATTCAAAACGTGTCTCTTGACTACCACATCACTATGCTAATTGAACTGATTAAGAAGAATATCAACGATAAGAAGGAGGAAGATAGGACATAAATCAGTTATATATTAAACAGGCGGTTAGCTGTCAGAGTAACCGAATATTAATACGGTAAATAAAAGAGAAATGATATGTACCGAAGTAAATGAAGTTGCAAAATTAAGATGCACCTACGGCCTTGCAATAACCGTTTCGCCAGATCTACCTCGTGAAATCAGTTATTTGGAAAAAAAGCGAGCACAAATGGAGTGGCAATATGCCTCAACTGTGCCAAGTGAAGGCGGTTTAAACGGACGCGAAAAGCGAAAGCACGATTTCTTTCCATTAAGAAGAATTAGATTAACACCGAAGAAAAATATCAATAATTTTTTTTTTGGGGGGGGGGGGAACGCTTCACCCACTCTGAAGATGGGAAATGGGAGGGCGAGGGAAGGAGAGGGGGGATCCTATGCAATAGCTGAAAGGAAAAATAAAAAAACAAAATTGGGAATTAGTAATTATTACCACTAGAAAAGGTTTTGGAGAACTGGTCTATTTTAGAAATTAGCGCATAGCCCCAGTGAACGCAACACAACTGAAGAGAGACTAGCTTAAACTAACGGGAAGAGAGCAGATTGTTTGTACCCGCAAAACACCCAACATACACAAACTTTATATTCCGGAAGCTCTTTACACTGCCTGACTAGATTATAATCACACCAATGGCAAGAATTCCATCCCAAGTAATAGTGCAGAAACCAAATAATCGTTAATTCAATGTAAGAAGAACGAAACTCAGGTAGGTTGGCTTCCAAGCGCAAATACTTAAGATGCTGAGCAGATGTGATAATGAAACGCAATCCATCAACAAGTAAATAGCCAAAAACCAGTTTCAATCGATTAGGCAAAGTGAGTGGCGAAAAACCACGTGACTGCGCTAATTCCAGGAACTCAGCCAGCTTCAAGATATGGGCAGCACAAGGTAGCAATTTTCACAAAGACGAGAGTTCCAGAAATATGAAAAGGACAGTTGGTTGGGTGTATGTGAATTGAATAAAAGATGTCTCCAATCCACAGGAGGCCTAACTCCCAGTCCCATCCACGTCTATAGAGTTCGTAATAAATTTAATGTCATGTTCCGTGCGTCATGCACCAATGAAATACAAATACCGATTCAAACGAAATAGCTAATTCTAGCAACTATCTAAATTCTTAAATAAATCTACTACGGAAAGAAAGCGAAGAAAATTGACTACAAAAATAGAATTAGAAATTTGGTACCATTCATTAATGGAATGACCTAAAAGTACGCGAAAATGCATTAACTTGTGCATATATTCATAACTTTAAGTGTGCAATAAACAAATTCAGAAAATCTCAAGATGAAAATCACTCTATGGATTAATTTAAGGCTGACAAGTATTTGCAATTTCAAATAAAGAATGAGGCTTAGATTATAAAAAAAGTAAATTACAAGATCATCAGGCCAATTGTTCCGATAAACTAACGCATTTATATCCCTCTTGTGAGTCACATTTCTATGTAGAAGAAATCGAATTAAAAAAATTTGATCACAAATTCAAGTGCTTACTGCTCTCATCCGATCGCGAAAACATGGGCACAAATTTAAGTCCGAGCAAATTCAGTCCCTCAATACCTCCTTCTCCTCCCTTCACAACTGATCCAACACTGCTCGCAAACATTGACCCACTATTCGAACTTCCACTCTCCTTTTCCTCACTCTCTTCTAACAATTCTGGGGTTGAGTTAACCCTATTGGCTAACGAGAATGACGTCACTGTAGTGTGAGGTAAGACAGGATTGGTGGGTAGGGTTGAAATAGGATTGCGACGACGATTGGCGGTGGCTAGTGTTGCAGACTGTTGAGTTATGAGCGACGTTCGCCTAGGCGGAAGTGCCGGTGGAGGCGTGTTCGAATGCTGTTCTCTCCACGTCCCGAAAGTGGTGACTGAGGAGGAGCTGGATGAGTTGTTTGAGGAGGAGAAGTTAGTCGTGGGGACACCATTGGGGAACGAACGACGGGGGATCGGTGGCGGGGCGGCGCTTCTATGCTGGTGCTAAAATGGGAATAAGTAAAGATCGAAATTTGTGAATTTGAAGTACTAATTCTAATACTCCTACCTTATATTTTTACATTCCAGTCCAGTTTTATTCCACTGAGTGGGGTGTGCAATAGACTTACCTCCATGTGGTGCACCCTGGGCAACGACACTCATACGGCAAAAAAGTTTATTAACAGGCAGTTGACTTCTCACTTCAAATTACCATCACCCACTATATGTCATATTTGACTACTTCCACAGTACTCACCTCACCTTTTTTCTACCTTTGTGTCCGTCTCTTTTACATCTTTGAAACACTCTTCTCTTCCCTCCCCCTCTCGACATTTTCCCTTCGATGTTCCTTCCTCTGTTTGAAGCCTGAAGTCAACCAAAGAGCTAATGATAACCATCAAAACGCCTGCCATTTGATATAAATAAATATTCTACTGTGACATTCCATACTTGGCTTCACTCGCCTGGGTTAATTTATCAATGCGTATTCGAAAGTACAAGTGTGCATCGCGATCATTATTCAAATGTGATTTCGGTGTCAATATTTACCGGCAATCAATGGTGACAAGAAGAAGAATTAGCAAGTGATCCTCAAGTG